TAATGGCCGACCAATAACAGTAAAGTTTTCCCCACCAACAAGAAGAACCTACAAATAAGAAAAAATATCAATATATCATAAATTAAGATTTMTAAAATATTTTATCACATTATATACCTTTTCTAGTTTTATTCTGTCACCAACATCTGCAGCAATTTTGAATATTGTTATTGTGTCATTAACTGTTATTTTGAATTGACGACCACCTGGAACAGTTACAAATCAAAATTTATGAAGAAAACTTCGGTAAAGTCTGACCAAATAAGAGAAATATATCATGTAGCTTTGGTGATAGCTTCTATATGTCTCCTTACTAATAATTATCACTTACCAATATGCACTACGGCAAAGACCTGTCCAGTATCACTTGCAAATTTTGCTTCATTTTGAACTTTGTCAATAATATCTGATGAGAAAACAAACTATCAATATCATCTTGATGATTGAGGAAAATAATGCCGGATCAGTTAATGCCATCTATGTCTGTCTATAGCTGCTGGTGGTAGAATCATGTTTTCAATGAATGCAACTAAAACATAATGAGAATTACATACCTGGATGATACACTTTCGATATACAATTTTGTTCATCCTCGTCCTCAGCACTTCCTTCTGATAATGATGCAGAGGAAGAGCTGGAMGGTGTCCTAATATCCACGTTTTGAATCAAGCTCAAAGGGTCATTTGCTGACACATGCTGCATGGCTGTAGTAGCAATACTGAAGTTTTTAAGACTGAAATATACAAAGCGTAATATTCTCAATAAAAATATTAACTGCAGCACATGTGGTCATTTTGACTGATCATTGTGTTACGGGTGAAAATACATAACTTACTATACAAATATTTTAAGATTTGCTCTTTCTTACCAATTCTTTGCAATACTATTGTTTATAACGAGGCTACCGCGTATKGATTGGAATTTCTGTACATTTGAAGCCAAACCTAAAGTGCAAAATAATGACTCAAGATCTTGCATCAAACTAAAAATGTAAGTTTCCCTCAGCTGTTTTTGGAACATAGCACAACAGCAGTAACATGTGACTGTCAAAAATCATCTTCTTTCTCCGTAATTGATGCATTAAAACTATCAATACTTGTAAACAAAGTTCACTGAATTATAATCAATGCAATAACTACCATTTAAGGCATGTCTGTGTTGAGAACTACGAAGAATTGCTCCTCCAACTTTAGCTAAATTCGCACACCGCACAAGTCTGGCCGCCATTTTGATTTTTGGTTTCTAGGCCCTTTGGGAAAGTAAATACACAGGCAACCCAAAACCTTTTTTGTCAGACACATATTTACCCATTTATTGTTATTCTGATCTTTATATGTCTATATGATATTGCGTGCCATAATCGCAGTAARGGTTTTAGCTTTCCGTTTCGTGAGCGGAACACGTTGTCGAAATCTTGAAGTGTGAAAAGAAGCATTGGTGCGCACGAAATCCTTCATCACGCAAAGTGACGAAAAGAACGCATATTAGAATAATGATATAAAATAAACTCCTTCTGGATGTGGCTTAGCTAAATMCACCGAAATGGTGCAAAAATAAATGAAAAAGAAAGGAAAGAAACGGAAAAGGTAGATTGATTTGCATATTCATAAGTTACGCATGCGTAGTGTCTTTGTTTTTGTCTAGAAAATTTTCGACGTTTTGAAGTACAGTTCGCAGTCCAGTTCGCAAACAAAAGACGTCTTTTTAAMTCAATTTTTCTCGTTCTCCATCTTTGTGAGTATTCTAGCATTTTCTCTAGTATTTCATAAATCATGGAAGGCTCAAGTAAGGATAGTTCAAGCTCAAGAACGCCAGAAAATGTAGCCGAAAAAACAGCTGAAATTGTATCCAACATGGCGCTGGCACACGAACTAGTTATGAACGATAAATTCGAGTTTCAGGATTTTCCGGACAATTCGTAAGTTTYAGAATAAAAGAACTGCTTAGGAAGGGAATTTATTGACCAAATTCATACATTTCTTGTTCATATTTGATGTTATTTTTGCTGGTATGATCTAAAACTTTGTTTTGACGCAGCGAAAAGTAAAAAGTGAAACTCGGTGCGTCACTCTTTGTTTATTGTGTCTACAAATATACAAACGGAAATCTTTGTTTTGATATTGAATATATATATAGCGTTTAAAGTTACGTTTCTAATACTGTTCGTTTTTCTCATTTTCAAGGATTGAAAAGCATGTTAAAGAGATTGTCCACAAAGCATTCTGGGATAAATTGAGGGAAGATCTTGAGTCAACCCCGCCTGTCTATACTCATACGTTAAATCTTTTAGTAGAATTGAAAGAGGTAAATAGATAAAATAGCAGCATTATAACATCATGGTAAACTTGTAAAATCAGTAGGTTGAAAAATTAATTTTTGTTTTGTATTTTGCTAGTATTACTAATAAAACTGATGTAAAATTATGTTTTTTTAAGAGTTTTTTTTTGTTTGTTTTTGTTTTTTGTTTTTGTTATTTTTTCGTGTTTTCATTCTCAGTAGTTTTCTTTTTTAGGCTTTATTTTATTTTTTATCTTCTCTCTTTTGTCATGATAGTTTCATTCTTTCATTTCTTTAATCAGCTTTTTAACTCACTTATTTTTGATGTATTACAGAATCTTCTAGGCCTTCTTCTTCCTCAACACAAGAGTTTTAGATCAATGATTAATGAATTTCTAGATGTTGAATTGATCAAACAAAAGATTGAGCATGATGCTCTTGATCTGCCGCAGTATGCAAAAGCTGTAGTAGATATATTGTCCAAACTSTGTGCRCCAGTACGAGATGAGCAAGTACAAGCCCTGCTGAATGTCAATGGAGTCGTTGACATGTTTAGGTATGATACCACAGTAAAGTTTTTATGGTTTCCCTGTGTAATACAAATGATCTTTTGGTATACCTGTGTAATACTTGCTGAATAAAACCTAAGCATTATTGTTTTGTTTTTTTTTTATCAGGGAAATATTCAAAGTTATTGACCTTATGAAAATGGATATGGCAAATTTTCAAATTCAGGCTCTAAAACCACAGCTTCTTCAACAGTCCATTGAATATGAAAGAACAAAGTTTAAACAATACTTAGARACCAATCCAGGTTTGTGCAGATATGAAAATCATAATCATACAAAACGATCATGATTGACAACTGCAGTATCATATTCATGCTTACTTTTCACAGATGGACTGACATCAACTAAAGTTTGGCTTTATAAAGGAAAAGAAGTAGCAACAGCTTCATCATCATCATCTTCTCATGATACCACTGATTCTCCTGGTGTGAAGCACCCTCAAGTGCTTGCTTATTCTTACCTTGGTATTATATTTGGAGAACCTGACTGGCCATATCCTGAGGTATAGTATGCSTACGTTGKWTTTTCATAATGCTTTAAGATGGGATTCCTKTGTATCACACTTGAGGATGACTGGGTAGTAAGATGGCCCRTGCTTGACTGATTKAATTGACTGATCTTGGAAACATTTTGATAGTAAACCACATATTATGAATTATATACATTTCAGACATTAATCATGGATGAGCTGCGTCTGGCTGAGATGAAATCAAGTGTCCATAGAACCACACTATTAGGATGCATTATTTTGGTTACCATGCAAACTGTAGCTAGGCAGCTGCAAGGYGATGCTGCCTTTTTAAAAGACTTGAAACAAGTGTTGATTATATTATTAGATGGAATACCAGAGGGGTATGTTAACAATTGTCTTTATACCTTCTATATTTATTTTTAAAGATTAGACACTTGACAGCTCACAGGGATGTGTAATTATTCTGTTTTTATCTCATTTTCTTTCTGCAGGGATGTAACATCATCAATGACAAGTATTTATGAACAAGTCAAGCAAGAAACAAATAAGTATTTAGCAAAACGAGGATTTTCTGAAATAGCAGAGGACCAAGAAGTGTTAGTCAAAGGACAAATAACTTCATTAGGAGATCCAAACCAGAATTTGAGAAAACTATTATGTAAGTTTGGTATAGTTGTATATATTATATATTTATATTATAAAAATAAAAAAAATGATGCCAAATCTTTAGTCGTTTCATTTTTTTTCTTATGTATATTTGCTCTAGTGTTTGCTATTGAGCACTCTGATGACAATCTATGTTCAATTTTTGTTCAATTCTCTTTAATATATTATATTATATATAAGTTTTACCAGTCTGAATTTCTATTTACAGTGTAATTTCTATTTACAGTGTAAAAAAAATGTTTTCAATCTGTTACTGGTTCTTGTTCAATAATACTGACTATCTATTTTATTTGTCTGTAGCAAAGCGTGCTTATGACTTCATGTTTAATGTCGTCAATGTTCTGTTACAACATGGCAATATCAACAAGACAGGACAACTTCCCRTCCCYCCTGGATTAGATGCTGTTGGAACTGAATTATCTGAACTAGCAGTACGATTTGGACGTTTAGTTTGTCATAATGCTATGACATATAAACCATTTTACAATGATATACTAGAAAGTACTGAACATACTTAATCAACATGTRAAAAAGAGAAGGGTGTATGGGTTACCTGTGTAATTYACATCWTGAATCTGRTGCAATATTTGAGAGTAACAGAGGGAAGGGTGGGTGACTATAGCTTTTGTAAGAATTTTTGGATTTTTGTGAAACATCTACAACCAAAATTTTAATTAGTATTGGCTTGAATAGAGTGTGGAAGCTATAATAATTTATTATTTTTGTACAGTTTTTTGAATATTATATTTTACAGTGATTCAGATATTTCTAAATTTCATTTATACTAAACATTTAATTCCCTTTTGTTGTTTTCCTTTTTGTCTCACACTTCCCTTTCTTTMTTTCATTCCTTTTCAAATTCTGAATTCTTTCCTCCCTGGTATTCTCTTTTATTATTATTTTTTCACTTATTTTTATTTTGAGCGATTGGAAGTCCTCAATCAAGTACGTTGTGCATAAATCAACTATTTTAGGTAGTTAGTATCTTAAAATAAAAGAAATTACTGTGTGACATGGTTTGGCAAGATTTCATGTGATAATTATAAATATATTTATATATAAGGTAATAACAAAAATTAAAATATTTTATACTTTAATTGTTTTCAATTTCTTCACGTGGGTCTGTTCTCATGGACGTTTACAGGCCTAGTTTTGTCTGAAAGACCTTTATATTCTCTATCTATTAAAAATCGTCTCGAAATAGAACAGTATCTAGATTATCCTGTTCTTTCCTTGAATGCCACTTATCAATGCAGACCATCAAAWCAGCGATCAAAAAAGTTAGGGTATGGACTCCTCATCTTTGAATTTCAGTACATTTGTTGCGTTCCGTCCCGTCCCGTCGTCCCGTCAGTTTTTGCATGATGCTATAGATAAAAATCTTTTAAGAGCTTCATACTGAAAAGAACCTCGTAAAACGTATTGCGTCTGTGCAGAAGTGCCAAACTTTATTTCATGAGGYAATTGCCTCGTGATAGCTACGCCCTGCCTCATCTAAAGAGCTTGGCGCATCACTCTGAACCGCCATGGAAGCCGCTCTTTTGAAACAGGCTGTCATGGGACATGAAGTTTGAGTAATGGCAAATCAGTGAAAACAATAAAGAAACCCGTACCCTTACAACCTTTATTTTCCAAAAGCTTGTTACGCAATTTCACTCCTTTCTATTTTGCGCGATATTTTGATCCCAGAAAATATATTTCCATTAGCGTCTGCTCACTGTCAAAACACAAATCAAAACTGTTACAGTCCTTGACTGATCCAGAATCATGCGCGTAATTATTAATGCATTTAATGATGACCACTGTGATGATACTGGCTTTACCTCATCACATTCCGTGACAAAAACTCAACTTACGTTGTAAAGCGCAACAGTTGAATGGTTTTCTTGCCACAATAGTATTCGGGAGATCGAATTTGTTCAGATTTCTTTTTTAAAACGTTTGCATGATTTCCGTTTTTATACTAAAAATTCTCTAAAATGGTTAATGAAGAGGTCCTTCTGTTTTTTTATTCACCGAAACAGCGCTGCAATGTTAAATGGTTAAGTGACATCTTAGTGGCTTCCACGTTAATGACCCCAGACGGCTATGGATCCTTTGAATTTTGCGCTTTGAAGAATATAAAGCGGTATATTATTAATCTCCTAGTGCTTTTTGCCAYTATACTTAGGATGCTTTAATGTTAACAATAAACTAATTTGTCAAGATTATTTCCGGTATTTTGTTGAAAATTTACATGTTACCATAGCAACTGGCTTAAGTTCAAAGCATCGAGTTCATGCAAAGTTTAGTCCAAGATGTTGTGACAGTGGTTTCTTGGTTATTTTTCTCTACTTGTTCTTGATGTTTTCTCCTTTAGCTCGTGGAAGTGCGAACTGGGATGGAGGAATACAACTGGAAGATCAGGACGATGATATTGTAAGTTATGAATCAAAGTCACTCAGTAAAAGCACACTTGCTAAAGGAATCGTTTCTATAAACTTCGTTAATATGTACATATTAGGACGTCGGTGGTATTTTCTCTTTCCTAAGCTCTTATAGTCCAGTTCAGAGTTTTAAAGAGCTTTTTGGAGTGTTCAAAAGATTTCAATAGCGAAGGGAAGCCATTTGAAGATTCATACAAAGTCTGTAGCTTGGTGAATATTAATTAATACATTCGTAACTTGCTGTAATTTTTTCGCATTCAAGTTCTAAGTTGGGACGGCCTTTTATAGGATARAGGATCAATGATRTTTCACTTAGACAGTGTCTCTGAAYTCWCGCATTCAGTTAAATAGATAAATAGTATGAACATGGTAGATCACGTAGCTAAACAAGTCAGCTTGGACCTTTCACCTTTCTTGATTTTTTTCTTTGACAGAACTTACTATAAAAACATCAGTATTCTCAAGCATACCTAACACGTTAAATACATATTTTCTATCCGTGAGCATATCTTCAAATCTAGGAAATCAAAAAGAAAATACATTTTGATTTACAAATAAGTGTTTTTCAATGAATGGCTGAGYTCCTTCTTTATTTAGCCTTTGTTTGCCAATGCACGCCATTAAGTAATTTCCTAAAGTGCATTTTGACATGTGTAGTTTTGTATTTCTACTTCCTATGTGTTATGAGTGTTCCATCATTTTAATTTGAGTATTTTGAAGACATAGGAAGCAATCTGAGTATTATTTCCTCTAGTCATCTATCTGATCTATGCACGTGGTCAAATTGATGGTTAATTAGGTGTTGCTTTGTACAGCTCGTATTGTAAATATACAGTTAAGAATGATTTTCCAAATGGGGCGTAGATATCTGCTCTAAGAAAATAAATTTTGANGTAAAATCGAACAAATCCTTTGACAATGACAATGGACAGATATCGCTACCCAAGACTTTTGTTACTCGTAAAGGAGCGCTGTTGTTATTTACACCATCGGAAGAACTCTTGACTGTTGAAAAAGAACAAAAACCTGTTGATGTTTATGAGGATGGATTAACGTTAGGAACGATAGGGAATCTKGCAAACTCAGTTCTTCAATTTGGAAAGAAGGTATAGTAGTCATATAGACCCACGGAATTATATACTTTAAAAATGATTGCATTACTTTTCTTTGTTGAAAACATGTCCCACGCATCGCGATTGTTCGGTTGATCCGTATGCAGCTAAATGTCTAACCTGTGTTYATCCAGTGATTACCGGGTATAAACATTCTGATAAACTACGATACTAAAAGTCTTTCCCGCAGTTTTTATTATTTTCACGCAGTTCTTTGATTTCGCTTCGTAGCGCCTATAGGCCGGAGGGATTTAACAATACATAGTCTCTTGATTGACTGATTGATTGATTGGTTGATTGATTAACATTGATTGATTGATGGATGGATGGATGGATTGATTGATTTAAACTCTTATAGGAAGAGCAAGCCTGGGAAGGAATCCCTAGCACACCACCACCTGAYAATGACAATCAACGAAACAGTCCGTCCGTCATTAATGACAGGAAAGCTTTCTTACGCTTCCTTCACTATCTGGACTCCGAGTCCCTCACAGCTGACAARCACGCACAGCCGGGGTGTGACCCTGACTTCTACCTTGATGAACTTAGRACTTCCTCACGGTAACTATAGTAACCAAAGAAAAGTTTGACGGCGTCACACCGATTAGACTTGATAGAACGGTTTATGACTGGTCATTGCTTTGTTGATAGGGTTGTGAGTTCAAGACGTAGATCTAAAGATGTACAGACGCCGTATTCATGTCGAACGTACTCGAGCTTTCTGGAGGACGATGACATGTCTGATATTGTGCGTCAATACATTAAATGGAGCAAACTTGAAAAACAGTTGCAGCAAGAACAAATGGCCACGGACGAGTAAGTACATCGTACATCTAGTTGTGACTGTCAGATATCATACCAATACACACCCTTATATCCCCTGCATGATCTACCCTTGAGTCAAGCAATAAGTACAACCAGCCACAACTCGATATACAATCTGTCAAAATATATAAACTATAGCGAGGCATACGATCCATATTTAATCCGTCCAGTGTTTCTCATTTCAGGGATATCCAAGAAAATCCAGATTWCGACAGATACATTCATTCTACTTCGCCTTCACAGCCCAGTTATACACTGAGATCGCAGTCAGTACCTCACCAGTACTTTCACACATACGACGACACACTTCGACCCAGTACCGCTCCTTTGCCACCTGCCCCTGAAACACCGCGGGCCAACCCGAGGATTACAAGTGGAAAACGCCCTCCTCCAACTCGAGGTCAGTSTGATATATGACGCTACTTTAAATAACTGTTTTATCATGTACATAATATAAGATCCGATTTTATTGGTTAAAACTCCTATTGACCAATGAAAGTACTTCTTATATCATGAGCGTGAATTAGTCTGCGTTCAGCCGAACCAAAACTATCGTTGTGGTCGTCGACGACGTAAATTTGACTGACATGATTTGTTGATGTATACATAGCGCTGGGTAGTAAGCCTGATAACCTTGATGGCATTCTACGAGCTGACATAAATCCAGGACGTARCATACGAAGAGGACCAAGCCCGCGTTTAAAGTTCAGCAGAAATACGTCACCAACGTTTTATGCGCCGTCATCACGTGGTGGATCCCCTGAACATGGGTTAATGCCTCGATTCGAAACACCAGGGGCAATGGTAAGTGAATGAATGAATGAATRAATAAATAAAACAGAAATGAATGAATGATTTAGTTAACATAGCATTTTATTGGAATCATTTTAGTCTGAAGGGTGGAGTCGCGCCGATGATATCATACAAGAGGTGGAAGAAACGGAAGGGCCTACCACACGACCCGTGAGTGCTGCCTCGTATGGAAGTGTTCATTCATCACCCAAGATGATGAACCGTCCTTCCAGTAAAAGGGAATCGAGTGCTGCAAATTCAAAAGGTACACTGACAATGTATTTTTGCTATCACACTTTTGTGAATAAGAGGACATGCACACTGTGTTCATCACGTCTTGGGCGCGCTCAGTTTGAAAGAAAAGAATAATTTTCTAAAAACGTAATAAAAAAAACAAATGACACACGATTTTTTCGTTGAATGATTTGCGCTCTTATTAACACACTATTGGCGTGATGAAATGTTCAAAACTGCGCAGTAAACCCACTAGCCTCGCTATTGGATCCATTTTAAGGGTGTACCAATAACAGAACATACTTCTCAAAACCGTGCTAAACTGAGTTTGTTATATCAAGCCAATAAATACGGTCGACAACTGTCAATCTGAAAAACCATATGAAATAGCTATGATAAGTTCAATTTCTTAATTTTTTGTAGGTCTAGAGAGTGAGAGCACAAATAAGATGACATCSGCCAGTCGAAGCGCTAGTATGTCAAGTGTGTCATACCAGAAGGGCTCGCGAAGTCTGTCGGGAAAATCGCGTGCCCTAACTCTTAACCAATCAAGAAACTCTCTTGAGTTCCATGACGAAATGAACCCCGACGTTTCGGATCACATGACGTCATACTCAAAGGATGATTCATGTGTACTTTGTGCGCATCCGCCATCGAGTATTCCGCACTTGAGCCCACGAAGCATGTCAGCGCCGAGAGAAACACGAACTGTTGGGTATGCTACAAGCTCAGTTTCTGTGACAGTGAGCCAGGATCGCGTTAGCTCATCGCCGCGCGGCGTTGTCCCGCAAAGCCGACTATCGCACACTTCAAGTGCCTCCTCGAAGAGACGCTATTCCCATCCGGATCCACAACCAAGTGATGGTATACCACGTGCAAAGTCACGTGGCTCAAACCGTTCTAGAATGAGYTCACATCCTGATAATAGTCCTTCTGTATCACCATGGCCACAAAATGAAATGTCAAGCGGACCAGGGAAAGTATCCAGAGCAAGTTCTAARATGTCAAGACGGACAGATGCGATGGGTGACCTCGGAAGTCGTGCAATCGCTTTGAGAAGCCGGTCAGCTTCYACTACAGCAACAAAAGTCCCCGCTAAGGGAAGGTCAKGTCAATCGAGACCCGTCAGTGCACCGATCTCCATAAACTGTGATGATGCAAATGCTTCCTTGGCRACGCTTGGCAGCGAGGCAAACATGGCTGATGTTATAGAGGTTATGCCTCGTAGCCATGTCTACGTTGATGACGTTAGTGATGAAGAGAGGAGCTTGGACTCTCCCGATGAAGCCTGGCCGGTGAATGCTGATGGAGAACTTGAGATCAGTGAAGATGAGATGAGTGGATTTGGAAGTGAGGCAGAAGGTGAGTTTGACGATGTTTTCCTTTGAATTGATTTAATTCGATAGACATTTTTGTCTCTTTTTTGTTTTTGTAGAGGTGAACTTGGATCTACCCTCTTCTCCTGCTCTTACAGCATCTGGATTTTTTCAACTTGAATCCTCTTGGAGTCCTGGTAAATCCTTTATAATAGTTGTTATAAAGAATATCAGTTCATAAAGCGAGACTAGTGCTCTTCCCAACTTAAAGGAGTGTTCGTAATGGGTTTSTTCGATACCCAGACCGGAGAACACGCTATGTCGCGTTGTGACAAGACAATATAATAATAATAATATCAAATTAAAGAAAAAAGCTCTTTCCATTGAAATTCTTTTATCATTTCATTGTTTCATAGTACCAGCTGTTGAAAAGACTGAAGGGCTTCAGTCCCCTGATAACCTCGCCTTAAAACAACCGTCAGAGACTGGAGCTACTGGGTTTCAGTCCCGCTCACCTTCACCAACACCAAAACATCGCACACCAGCTCTCATTTCTAATGGTAAGGTTATATTTGAACTTATTGGTGATGATACTGACGATGATTGACTAGTGATAATGTTGATGATGACTGTTGATGCGGGTAACGCAGAACATGTATGATGATAATATCAGTAATGATCGACGATGATGGYGATGATCACGACCAACAAGGTGAATCAAGTGGTGATGAAATTGTGGATGATGATGATAACGTTTTCTTTCAAAACTCCAATAATGTGCGGGGTATTATAATTGATAGTATTTTTGTTGATTAACAGAAAATGACACAGATTCCATAGCATCACTCGAAAAAGAAGAGCAATGGCCACCAGAAAGATCACAAGTCTTTTCACCAACTCCTGTTCCAGCAACTCCAATACCTACCGTCACTCTAAACGAGGAACCGACTGAGGACATTGCCGACACTCTTAGACCGACAACCCCTGCTATGTACCAAGAAACCATAGAAATTGAGAAATCTCGTCCCAGTTCTCCAACTACTGACCTCGAACGACATCAGCCAGTCTCAGTGTCGGAGTCTGTGATCAAGTATTTGGAGACGTCGCACGAGCCTGCCGAGCGCCCGCGCAGCGGTAGAGCCCTAAAATCCCCAGATCTAGTCGAGAAACAAGAATCAGTTTCGGAAGAGAAATCTATTGATGAAGAATCACCAATCGTTGAGGTTTTGACTGAGCAAAAGATTGAAAACACTAAAACAGACACRAAGGAAAGCTCAGTTATTGYTTCSMATAAAAAAGATAAACCACATAGTGCAGGTAAAGAAAAACTTACAATTGGGATTGATATCACCAAGGAAACACCAAAACAAAAACAACAGGATTCTACAATACAGGAAACTGAAGCCCGCCGAGATTATGTCAGTAGTCTCCTTATCAAATCCAATCCCACAGTGGAACGCGGACGTCTTGAGCTGGAAGGGATTGGGAAAGAAGGCGAGGAGTTTGTTAGCTTAACTTCCCCAGTCTCGACTGCGCCTSCGCAATCTTCAGTTTATGAGTCGCCTAAAAAAGATGTGGTTCAATCTACCAAGACAGCGGAACCAGCCAAGAATGACTTATCTGATTTAGCTGCCCTTATCAATCGAAATAAATCAGCCAAAGCAACRAAAGAAAAGGTACGGTTTWGCTATYMGGTATYATACTTTGTAAGGAATGTAAAATTTTCTGTCAATAATACCCATGATGTRTATTGCGTTTGCAGAAGGAAGCTAAAAAGAAACCAAAGCCGCCAAAGTCTTCAAAGAAAGAGATCAAAGTCGACCCACAAAACATTGAYTTTGATGCTTTCAACACACCAGAGATGTTAGCCCACATGGACGATGATTTGAAAGAATTGTTACAGCAACAAAACGCTGTTGGGGCACCTGACGGGACTGTAGACAATAAAACGATTGGTACTACTCAAAATGTCGAGGTGCCACAAGTTGCTGCAAAAGTTTCCCCTGAGAAGAAAAATGCTCACACACCGTCTAAACCAAAGAAGCCTTCAAAACAAGAGCTTGCAAAAAAACGTGCCGAGGAAAGAAAAGCAGAGAAAAAGAGAAAAGAAGAAGAAAAGAAAAGAAAGGAAGAAGAGAAACAACGAAGAGAAGAAGAGCTGCGTTTATTGAAGGAAAAAGAAGAAGAGCAAGCTGAGGCGAAACGKGAAGCCGAGATGAAACAGAAAGCAATTGAAGAAGAAAGAACAAAACGTCTTGCTGAAGAAGAAGAGGCACGTCGCGAGGAAGAAGAAGCCATGGAAAAGCTTAAAGAAGCCAAAAAGAAGGCACGCGAAGAACGAGAACAGCGCAGAGCCGCAGAGGCTGAAAGACGCAAACTAGAAGTGCAGCGAAAACGAGAAGAAAAGAAGAAGAAGGAAGAGGAAATGAGAGAGAAAGAAAAAGAAATGGAACAAATGAAATTCGACCAAGAAAAGCGAAGACAGGAACTCATGGACGCCAAAAAGCGTCAGGTTAGACTAAACTGTTTTTTCTCGTATTCAGGGACTGGAATGAATAATAGTTTGACAAAAAATATATGGTTTCGGTACGCGACTTGTGATCCTTGCCCAGTTAATTTCGTTTCTGCTGTCAATCAAATGACTCTACTTCTTATAAGAGCAATCAGTCATGTATATCTATGTATCTTTTTAATCAGGAGGAGCTCGACCGCCTCGAAGAGGAAAGGCGRCAGGAAGAGGAACGACTACGTTTGTTAGAGGAAGAAGAAGAACAAAGAAGACTCGAAGAAGAGCAAATACGAGAAGCCGAAGAAGAACTTCGACGACTACAAGAAGAACGAGAATACAAAGAACAGATGAGGCGAATAGCTGAAGCAAGGGTAAGATKGGYATATATCTATGCTCTCGCTATTAGTTGCTATGTACTAAAACCCCTCGCAGATCAGTGGTCCTCTTTGACCTGTGACAACTTGTCAAACCTCAAATATCGAGTATGTTTGATCTTTATCTCCTGACCCGTCTTTACTTCATTCTTTTCTTCCATAATTCCTTTTCCTGTCATTTCCAAAGACATATTTATATAAACTTACAAGTCACTTTATGAAATAGGAGAAGAAATTGAAGGAGGAAGAAGACGAAAGACTCCGTCAGGAGGAAGAAGAGCGACGTAAGCTCGAGGAAGAGCGACGTAAAATCCARCAACAAGAAGATGAGAAAGTCGAACAAGAAAAGAGACGCATTGATATCGCWAGACGATTGGAAGCTGTAGCACGCATGCGTCTCGCCCACGAGGCCGCTAGACGTAAAACAATGCTACTAAAACGACGAGAGSAGAATCTGGACAGAATTCAACACTTACGTAGCGTACGACAAGAACAAGGCTTAACGAGATCGCGGGTCTTTAGTTATTACATACGAATACCACGGCAGGTATGGGAGGTACCCATTGGATACAATAAGCAGAAGAAGGGTTTTAGAGCCGTAAAGAAAAAACCTCCGCCAAAGACGTAACGCACGTTTTACGTGGAATCATAGTTAGCGCAAGGATGCAATACGTAATCAATACGGAATATATTGTATCAATACGGAATATATTGTATAAAAAAAAAAACACCCTAAAAAGTTCAATCACCACGTGAGGGCTTACGTGATGTAACCGCGTAACTCTCAAATTCTATAGAACCATTCACAATACATTTGTGATGTTGAGCAAATGAACCCGTGAAAACTAGAAAAAGAAAATACTTGTTTTTTGTTCTTCAAAAAGATTTTATTTGTGTATGGTTCAAATATGGGAGAGGAGGAAGATGGAGTTAGTCCAATCGATATAGAACTACTTAAAGTAGTACTTTGCAATGAGGTAAATTAGGAACCAGATGTTTATTCGGAAAAAAGAACAAATCAGTGTCAAATGTAATATTTTGTTATCAAACCAAATGTAAATTTCMAAATTAGTAAAAATTGTAGTAGAAAATAGTTTTGGTTGCAGATGTATATACAGAAATAAGGGAACTTGTATTGAATTTTGTAAATTAGGTAGATATTTTTGATATTGAATTAGAATGAACGGTCTTCCTGTCTTTTTGCTGACAAGAAAGGGGATRTAATAGTGTTTTTGGGTCTTTAAACAGTCTAGTGTGCGCTTTCATCCGCCATCTTTAAAATGTGGTTTGTGGGAAACTGGTAACTAATGTAAGATCTTAACACAGGGTACCCAAAGAGCAAGGAACTGCCGTAAGARTGTACTATCCCCGCTTCAGTACCCTTATTTCATTGCATGATATCCCCAGAGGCAGACTTCAAGTGCCAATTAATAAAATAAAATGTATTTATTTGGAAATTGCTATTACAAAAACACATTCTTGTTACTTTTCCGAAATGCTGATAACTGTACTTATTATAGCCTCCTCCAMGGGCCTCACTAAGAGCCATGGACTTCCTGTCTTTTTGCTGACAAGAAGATGGAGAATGGGAGCCAGAGAAGGGAGTCCCTTGCAGTCAATATGACCGTYACAAAGGAAGCCCAAAGGAGAAAAAAGAGTTGCCTGATTACCTGGGGAGACGGCTACACTTATTGAGTGACTATGACATGTTTATTGTGTCTACTATTCAAGACTATGAAACTTTGCAAGGAACTTCTTATGTCTTTGTCTGCTTCCRATGCCTTTTTTCTCACTATCCTTTTCCATTTCAACAGCATTACCAACATCATCAATGCCGTCATCCTCACTACTTGSATATTCATTATTCCATGGTACACTGTCCTTGCAAGTCATACCGGCATCTGCATCATTTGAAACAACAGGGTTCAAAGAAACTGTCAAATCAGCACAAGTTTTTTCTTTGCTAGAGTCTGTCATCTGCTGGAGCTGGCTCATAGCTTTAATTTCTCTCTTTTTCTGTTTGACTATCTGCCTTCTTCGTCGTCTCTTTTCTCTTCTAGTAATTAGAATTTCATCAWATCTTTGCTGTAGAGTTTTGTACATTGGAGTTAATGTAATATCCAACTCCTCAGCTTGTCTGCCCAAACAAAGAAAAACTATCATCAAAATTTTATTTGATCAATCCTTTTGTGTTAAGTAATAATTTTAGTTGTATTCTAATTCAGTTCATCAACAACTGAATATTTATCAATTCATTATTTTTTATGCATKTTTTTCAAATACCACAACAGCACATAATGTAAAATAGAAAACTTCTTGCTCCATCAATTGCAGTTGTTTGTTTTTRTTAGGTACTTAAATCAATGCAAGGGACTTACTTTTTCATTTCTTCATAGACCCTGAGAGACATCCAAGCATCTGTGGCTGCATATCTTATTTGTGCAGGAGAAAGGTTTCTTTTCTTCCAGTTTGACCTTTGATGTGTTTTTGATATTTTTTCGCCAAGGAATATTTCACAAAGACCCTGCAGGGATTTCGGCCAACAGTCCATGTCTTTTGCCCAACAATGTGTGTCAATCAAGTTGATAGGATCCTCTCTGAATTTCCTTGATATCATCATGGCATCATCTAAGCAWGAATGACCAACCTTAACAAGTAAAGTATAAGAATCATTGTGTTAACTTCAGTGAAGTGACAAATTTCTCAGGACATAATTGGGGAATTTTTTTAAGCCTGATTTTCACTAGGACACAAGCATAGGCTGAAAACAAAAGAAAAGACAAAGAAATGAAGTCAAGCATGCGACACAACACATCGAATAAGCACAGCAACAAGCATAAGACACAGAATAAGCTAATTAAAGACAAAAGAAGAAACAATGAAAAGCACCTTCTAAATCTGTTGTGAATTCCTTCTGTTACCAAAAGCTATTATTTTTTATCCCTTATGATTATATTATAGTGAAAACCAGGCATTATCTAATATTTCAAAGCCTGATTTCAGCGTTTGACCTGTAGTTTATGATTTATCCTTGGCTTAAAACCAAACTAAAAGTCTGAAGTAATGAGCATCAGTTGTAGGCAAGTTGTAAGGGATTTAGAGTTGYATACTATAATTTGTGTTCAACAATGCCATCACAAAAATGGACCCACCTTAGGAACACTTCCAGTTAATAACTTTTTCAAGTAATGCGGCATCTTTTCAAAATTCAAACACTGCCATAACACTGCTTTATCAYGAGTTGCTAACTGGATTACACATAGATTGTTGTTAATTGGACATTGTTCAGTATCAAATCCTAGCACTTTTTGTGTAAGGAAATCCTTCAACACGTTCATATATAGATGTTCATCATGAATACTTTTGATTACATAAATCTGACCAGGAAATTGAATCCCTTGCGATCCAATTTTTTCGACAAGCCAGTTTTCGGGCAATTGAAACCGTGACATTTGGTTTATATCTAAAGGCTGAACTCCAGTTGTACACTTGCTTGAGTTTCTCTCACTGCTTGTATCATCATTATCATCGCTTATATCATTAGTAAATTCGTCCTTGACTGACACATTGGAATACGTACTAGGTGATTGTGCAGCAAACTCTTTCCCAAACCAAGCATTTTTACTTTCAAAGTCATTCACTGTCTGTAAATCATGAATGCTGTCTCTCGCTTTTTTCAGTTCAGATTCTGCAGAGCTTTGGACGTTAAACAAAACRGTTCCTTGACTCCCAACTACAGTCTCATTGCAAAGAGTTCTCGTRGAACTTCTCCATAAGGATTTGTACAGCTCGAAAGAGGGACAAACATTCGGCCTATTTGGGATCGAAATCGAGTGCTTTGTAATAATTCCCCGGCTAAATCGCGAAAACACTTTGAATCCAGAAGCTCCTACTTTCCCTAACATAACGATGATGTTCGAAAACCGGTGAAGTTGAGTGCGAAACAAATGTAATTCCTTCAACAGTCTAGTGTTCGTACAAATCTTTCATCCGCCATCTTTACCATGTGGTGTGGGAAACTGGTAACTATCGTAATGTCTTAACACAGGGTACCCAAAGTACAAGGCAGCTTTGCGTGCAAGGCTCGCTTCAGCGCCCTTAATATATGATATGCCCATGCAAAGGAATAAAACTAGAGAGAATACATACAGAATAAGATAACGGCAATAACATGGCTACTTCAAATCCTCCGTTAACCGATGAACAGTTTACTAAAGGCAGATTTTCTAACACCGTTGCCATTGTGACTGGTGGTGCTTCAGGTATAGGTGAAGCAACAGTCAAGAGATTTGTAAACGATGGAGCGACAGTGATTATCTTTGATATTAACTCGAAACTGGGTGAACAAGTTGTGACATCGTTGACTGACCTTGGTCATCAGGTTGAGTTTATGACAGTGGATGTATCTGATAGAGACCAGTGTATACAGGCTGTGAACACTGTAGCTGAGAAACATRGAAAAGTCAACTTTCTTGTCAATTGTGCTGTGTACTTTGGAATGAAAGGTGCGTAATTGTCTTTCGCCATTTGATCCTCTCTGGGGTGAATTTATTATGTGCACGTCAACTCAACAAGCTAATAGAGATTGTAATTTTTACTGTAGGCATGACCGCAAAGGCTGAAGACTGGCATAAAACAATGACTGTCAATGTTGAAGGATGTTGCAATATGGTACAGGCATGTCATCCATATATGATCAAAGGTTAGTTCACCAAACTTCAAAAGTTCTTATCACATAATTATATGTTTCTAACATTCGCACGGTAACACTAGTATTGGATTTAAATAATAGTTATTTTGATGATAGACAGAATATTACAATGAGAACTGATCTGTATCCCTGCGAGCTAAAAGTAACGCAAGACATTCATTATATCTCAGCGCAACTGGGGCAACGTGCTATAGTAAATCTAGCGAGCATTGGAGGACATCGAGCTCAGCCTTCACACCGTTGGACTTATAATGCCAGCAAGGGTGCTGTTATAACGTTGACAAAGTGCATGGCCTTCGACTTGGCCAAAGATGGAATACGAGTGAATTCAATCAGTCCTGGTTTCGCATGGACRGGGCCTCTTATTCAATATGTAAGTCCAAAATGTCTGACAAGTAATATTGATATGCTTTGACGCAAAATACGTCTGTCACATCAATTGATTCCGTGCTCTTGTTTTCTTTTCAGCCRGAGATAACCGAYAGGAAAGAGATTGAAGCAGTATTTGGAAAATACCACATGATGAATAGGTTTGGTGAGACTTCAGAGATAGCTGCAGCTGTCACTCATCTGTGCAGCCGTGATGCTTCTTTTATTACTTCTGCTGATTATCCTGTAGACGGAGGGTACCTGGGAATGAGTGCTGAAGGACAAGATAGCAAGAATTTGTAAAAAGATCTGTTGGACCCATTGGCTRAACATGAACAATACTTGTTGTAAGAGAATAAAAAAAGCAAAAATTTTGGTGCAAGAAAATAATTATCCTTTCTTGAAAATAGTTACAACTAGATGTTAATCTAGCGTGAAGTCGGGCTAGCCTTAATAAATTGCAGTGTAAAATGGCAATATTGAGACGACACTGGCGGCACGAGATAACCGACTATGGACTTGTTCATGATACGTACGGTAAAAAGTAGTTTTAAAATTATTTTTCTAACATTGTTAACACGCGGTTTGTGCAAATCGAATTATGTAGCAGTAAATTGAGTGGTCTTTGTGGCCCAAGGAAGATGTTGTAAATATCGGGCTTCCTGTGCCCGATTAGCGCAATGTGACGTCAGTATTGTATAGAACGCGCRTATATAAGATCAATAAAACWGTGTCAGGGAACTAAARCGTCAAAGGTTTTCCAGACATCATAGTTAGATAGTAGTAGAGGAAGAACTAAAGCTGGTCTAGCCTATKGCTACCCCGACTAATAGAAGATACATTTTTATAAAATAAATAAGGGAGATTTGTATGTATTTCACTGTGTCATTTAGCTATATCAAAATCATACGCTCATGTAATAGGAAAGGGCAACTCAGGGACGGGGAAGGGAGCTGGTACAAAAATTATTGGTTGAGTCGTCAGACATCTTCATATGAATGTTTCTTTAAATGTACCTTAATATAAGTATATATACAGTCAACTCTCGCTATTACGGACACCATCAGGACCATAATTTAGTGTCCACAGTAGCGAGAGTTCGTAGTAACGAGAGTTACTTTCAGTAATTTCTCTGTATTTTTAACCGGTGATTCAGTATTTTACTGTCCGGAATATCAAGGTGTCCGTTGTAGTGGGGGGTGTCCGTAAGGCAAGAGTTGACTGTATACGAAAAGGGGAGGGGGGGGAGGAGGAGGGGGAATTTGTCATGAACATTACATGTTAAGTTACACTTGCAGTAACCCGCTTAGTAACACAGTGCAAATTAGATTTAGTTACTCCATCAASTAGAGTTACTCCATTGGTAGAATTATTTCAACTTCTTGGAAATGACAGTACGAGGATRTGAAAATGTCCATGGTTTTGTGTCTAAGGGTTCATTTATYCTTTTAAGCCAGCAAACTTTGAATATTGACCAAGACATTCAGCGCTCATTCCTAAGTAACCTCCATCAACTGGGAAATCTACAGATGTGACAAATGTAGCATCTCGGCTGCACAGAWAGGTGATAGCYGCTGCTATTTCAGAGGRATCACCAAATCGTCTAAGCATGTGAAAGTCTCCCCAAACTTGTTCCCATTTTTCACGGTCATTTTCAGCTGCTTTGGCAACCTGAGAATAAGAATTATAAACTATTACTTCAGATAAAAGAAAGATATAATTAGCACATCTATGTGGCATTTSTAATCTTTCAGAAGTTGCTCATGAATGCATGAGTTAAGCTTCATAGTTCCCTACTGTCACGACCCCCTGTCATTAATAAATCCTTCACCTACCTCTGGGGTGTAAATCCAACCAGGACTGATGGAATTTACTCTTATCCCATTTTTGGCAAAGTCAAGTGCCATACATTTTGTTAATGTCAAAATGGCTCCTTTACTTGATGAGTACGTCCAGTGTTCTGGTTGAGATCGATGAGCTGAAATACTTGCTATGTTAACTATTGCACGTTGTCCACGATTGGCTGATGGCAAATGAAAGGAAAMAGAAATTTATTTTTTTAAATATGCAGCTCTACAGGTGGAGGTTTAATGAATAAATGGATAAAAATGATAATTAATTRGCAGTCAATAARGGCTGTCAACCAATTATTGATTAACCATTCAATYTACATCAATCAACCAACCAACCAACATCAATCAACCAACCAACCAACCCATCAATCAATCAACCAACCAATCAATCAAGCAAGCAACCAATCAGTCAATCAACCAATCAACCAACCCATCAATCAACCAATCAACTGATCAATCAATCAAGCAACCAATCAATCAACCAACCAACCAACCCATCAATCAACCAACCCATCAGTCAATCAACCAATCAGTCAATCAACCAACCAACCAACCCATCAATCAACCAACCAACCAATCAAGCAACCAATCAACTGATCAATCAATCAACCAACCCATCAATCAATCAACCAACCAATCAATCAAGCAACTAAACAATCAGTCAATCAACCAACCAACCCATCAATCAATAAAGCAACCAATCAATCAACCAACCAGGCTAACCTTTTAACATGTGTGGATGGCATGCTTGCACCATGTTAGAATATCCTTGGACATTGACACTCATTGTTTTATGCCAATCCTCAGCCGCTGCGGTAATACCTGTAATTTAAAACAAATTTATTTTTATTAAGAGTATTAAGACATACAGGACCGCGGAGGAGACAACTCAACTGACCTTTGCACCCAAAGTACACAGCATTATTGACAAGAAAGTTGACTTTTCCATGTTTCTCAGCTACAGTGGTGACTGCCTGCATACACTGGTCTCTATCAGATACATCCACTGTCATAAACTCAACCTGAWGACCAAGGTCAGTCAACGATGTCGCAACTTGTTCACCCAGTTTCGAGTTAATATCAAAAATAATCACTGTCGCTCCATCGTTTGCAAATCTCTTGACTGTTGCTTCACCTATACCTGAAGCACCACCAGTCACAATGGMAACGGTGTTAGAAAATCTGCCTTTAGTAAACTGTTCATCGGTTAACGGAGGGCATTCGTTTGTTGCCATGATCGGGATCCCTGCTTAAAATAATGCTTGAAATATTTTTAGAGATTGGGTCGAGCTACCCAGTCTCGCGCGGCTAATGCGGCCCATTTCGAGTAGTTCGGTAAAAATGGCGGTCGATTCGAAAAGTTGTGTCATCTCTCAGCAAATTTTGCTTTAATAACATCTTCAAGTAAGCCAAAGACTGGATATTTTGCCATTTCGTCATGAGTTTTAGTGTCTCTGAGCCTTTCAAAGCCACAAAGATCTGGAATGAGCTTGTGGACCATTTGAAAACGAACCTTGAGCCGCGGAAGAGAAGATGGAAGCTGCAAACTTTTGAGAACTGTTTTCGTGGAAGTGACATTGTGGGACATCTTCAAAACTATGTCTTTAATCACCCCGAGCTAGCAAGTGACCCATCAAAAGTACAAGTGAAGTCTTTGGCGCAAAAACTTTTGGAATCGCAAGTCATTGAGAGCGCATCTGCAGAAGGCAAGAAGTCGTCYCACAAGGAGATATTCGAACAGACTAGTCGATTGTATCGCTTCTGTGATGGTTCAAGTACGGAGGATTTATCAAAAACACCTACTAAAACAGACAGAAAGAAGAAACGACTCAGTTTTGACCGTTTGAATATCCACAGACGTTCAATGAAAAGAAGATCTTGTGGAATTCCACCAGCAGAAAAACTTAACCAAAATGAATCAGATCCGATGAGAGAAAAGGAAAACGAATCAGATAACAACAACAATGAATGCAGTAGGAAAAGACGAGCTAGTTTCAGTGGTCCATCTACCTCACAGGGATTAGAGTGTTATTCCGAAACACCTAGAAAGTACAAAAGAAGAAGTTTTATGCTTGTTAGGTATTAGATATATGCTTGTTGTTGAGCCAAACTGAAGCTTGAGATACCAAGTCTGCGTTCACCTAATTGTTGTGACATTACAGGATGTAAAGTTGTGCATAACAAGTCACAACATGTAGCTGTGTTTACAATTTGCAGTTTTCCCTGACCTTGTTCATCAAGATCTTACTGTCAATAAATAGTATACAACAAMAACATCACTCTATTCTTTATTTATTTCAGGGGTGCTCATCGGTCAAAGCTTGTGTCCAAGATTGATGATGATATTTCACCCAGCTTCTGCAAAGAGATTGTGTTTGAGCTTGCCCTATCAAGTTTACTAAAATTGCTTGATGTTCCTTTTATTGAGGATGTCTTAGACTGGACAGAGTCAACAGAAGATAGAGTAGAGTTCACAGAAATCACCAACAGTCCTTATGGTCGTTTAGTGGAGTCTTATAGTCAAGTCCATGCTTCAAGTGAGCAGGAACATGGAAGAAGAGGAAGAGACTCCRTGTGGAAAAAAGCTGCTGTTGCATGCTTTGATGCTTTGAGAGAGTACCCTTTGTCTCACAACAAAGAATTTGAATTYCACAATAAGATTGCTATAACTGAAGCAGGCATTTCCAACTCATTAGCAAAGTTTTATTCTTCACTCATGGAAACCTTGATACCTGAAAAGTTTRCTGTCCTTGTCCAGGACATACTCCAGTTATTATCTACAAGGAAGAGAAATGTTGCCCATGCCTTACAACTACTATTCTTACTGCTATCACAGGACAGGCAAGAGCATTTGAAACGACTGTTGAACTTCTTTGACAAGAGTTTGATGTCTCAGGCCAGAATTTCAAAGGAGCAAAGGAGAAAGTACTTATGTAGAGTATTYGCTGAAGGAATTTTACCACATACTGTCCATCAGGATGACAAAGTTAGTGCCTATAAATAATTATTATAATAAGTATTTGTTTAGTGTAGAAATTGAGAGCAAAATTTGAAGTGGGCATTAAATGATTGAAAGSAACCATGGGACAGATTGCATGTCTTATAAAAGCATTTTCATCAGTTTTTTTGTGATAAAATCTTCAGTCAAATTGATAGATAGATTTTCACAAAGTGCTTGTCATATTGTATTTTACTTGTAAAAAACATCCTCAAGCACMCTTCAACAAYATCTTAAGAGTTCCACTTATATTCCAGGAAAGGGCTGAGAATCTRTTGAGTGTTATGATGGACAAGCATGAGAAACTCTTTCAAACACCATCAAAGATCAAGTCTGAAGTGAAAAGACATCTCTTATGTTTCCAAAGTGGCTACAAWCTGCCAGTTTTGGCTGTTTCAAGCTGCAAGAGGATTAATGTTGCACAATACCAAAACCAGAAGGAGAATACCACAAAACAAAGCCTGCTTGACTTGATGAACTGCATCATTGATGATTTGAACCTGTCAATCAAGATGAAAGAATGCCGACTRAAGGATTTTCAGAGACATCACCTTGATGTTTTTTGTTTACAGTTTCCTAATGGGGAATTTTAGCTTTTTTTCTACTTTTTTCCATCCCTTTTTGTAGCATTGATTTCTTTACCATTTTCTGTTACTCATAAATCTGTCCACATCAGCCTGTTCAACACGACTACGAATGATTTACAATTCACTTATTAATTATTTAGTATTTATGATTATTTAATATTGAATTCAATTTCAGAGTATGTTTTACTCTGCTATTTGAATTGACTACGAATGATTTACAATTCACTTATTAATTATTTAGTATTTATGATTATTTAATATTGAATTCAAGATATTTCTTGATAGTATTTATAAATTAAGATTCAAAAGCCAAATGATGTAAATATTTCACAATAGCACAAGCACAAAATTTGATTCATTAGACAAAAATGTCAATAAAGATGTTAGAAGCTCAATATTAGCTCATTGGTTAACGCTGAGCAGCTGAAGGTAAATAGTAATTTGCGCATGCTCTGGGGTGCTTTCATTAACTTTCCCACATTTCTCATAAGCGTACGATTCCAAATCGCCGCTGTGAGAAAAAAGGGATTTCGTATTCGTTTCTATACAACCGTTAACTGACTGAGATCTTAGATCGTATTTTTTTATACACCCTTTTAATAAGTCCCGAGGTACTGAGTTCTCCGCACTTGACGTCAAATTTATTCTTTTGAAATGTTTACAATACAAAAGGAATTCAAAAGAATAAATTTGACGTCAAGTGCGGAGAACTCAATACCTCGGCACTTATGAAAAGGGTGTATAATATGAGTTTTATCAACATTAAAGTGGTGATGCTATAGCTTCTCAAGTTAATGTTTTCTTTGAAGTTTCAGGATTTGCTAGATGCGTTTTCCACCTTTCGCTTGAGTGGGTCTTCGGGGACATTCAAGCATCAATCGACCGTTTTGCATGATATTTTTAAGCACCACTTGACTTCATGATTGTCATTTGACTGTAGATCAATTCAAACAGTTGGTGAGAGGACATTTTGCTCCAACCTGACTAGCTGTAAGACATGACAGTTTTTAAGGTGAGATTGCAGGTAAACTTTTTTTAGATATTGAAGGTGTATGGTCTTTTTAGATTCAGATCGCCTAAAGAGGATTTGACTAGCGTTCAACTAACAAGTAGTTTTTGAGCGAGCTGTTGCGGGTCGATCCCGTTATCCTTGTGTCTTGCATTTATCTTACCTACATTAGTCTGTGATGCCTGCCATAGAAACGAAAAACTAAGAACACAAATTCAAAGCAATACCGCAAGACACCACGTGATCCTCCCTGACTGTCTTAGTGCTCAATGACGCRGTTGCTGAATTTTGGCCATTTATTTTTTCATTTACTCGAATGTTTTGACAATGACTAAAGGAGCCTCATATTTGTTATTTTATCTCTTTAAACAGTTTTCTAATTTTACAATTCCCGCTGAGCTTATYGTWCTGCTTTTCTTGGCTGTCAATTCCATYGCAACAGGCGAGGSACCATGCATCAAGTCCCAAACAGTTTCATGTGTGCGACAAATAAACTCCAGATGTAAGATTGGTGGTGGTATCGCMTTGAACGTCACAATACGATGTCTTTTGAACGATACTTCTGAACTAAAACCAATTATCAACTTTCCAAATGACGTCCAGTACCTGTAAGTATTTCCTTTTAAAACTTCACCAAGGCTCTCAAGGCTTTAACCCAGGTGTTTGTCTTCCCAATATTTCGGTCATTTGAATACTATTCATTTGGAAAAGTTCAAGGATCTTCCCAAGGATCATTGTTTTTGACCAAACAATTTGCTTCCGTCATGTCCTATTCTATAGTGTCAGTTAATTAGTTTTTAGATCTCACGTATTAGAATTATTGCATGCAATACCTGACCGTTACGTGGGGGGTAAGGGAGGGGGATTTTGCAAGGTGAGATGGAAGGTTCGTAAGGTGTATTAAATTCAATGTTCTTCTTGTTCTTCAGAGATCTGACCAGGAACAATATTCAAGAAATCCAAAGCGATTCTTTTAAAGACTTCTCAAGACTAGTTTATCTGTAAGTATAYAAAGCCACTAATGAATAGTCAATCGCGCTTCTTCCAAAATTATTCCGGCTTGATTATATTTGAGAGGACTTGTACCTAGTTTAAATGATGTAGAATGCCCCTAGGTRGTAAGGCTAACTCTATTGTTTTATGTGAAGGAAAACAAGAGATATTACAGCCATATAATATATATAATATATAAATAATATTACAATATAATGAACAGTTCAAGGCAGCAAAAAACGAACGCGAGACGTTCTAAGGAAAGATTGATTTGTGTTTTCTGATGCAATCAGATCACTTGCATCTAACAACCTTCAAAGGATTTATCAAGGTGCGTTCCATGGACTAACACAACTCGAAGAACTGTAAGTAACATCATCATCTCATATCATGGAACATTATCATCATATTTTTATACTGAATGTATTATGAATTTTACTACTTCGAACGATAACAAGAYGACTTCAATYCGWTAAAATTCTTCGTCCAAGTCYCATYCTCGTTCCCAGTTCCTTAACCCTTCGCTTTATGTCCAAGTCYATCSTTGTWRATTAATTWTCTGTCAATCTTTTCTCCATTTYCTTTTCATTGGTGCTGGAAGACATWWRATATATCGAATTTCATGMACGTGCTGTTTTTGCATGCTAAAAAAATAATGATTATTRGCCCTWTAATATGCGTTCTTCAATGTGTGCGTGYGGGTTGCGAGATAAGGCCGTTTACACTTRCGATTTTCGTTTACACGTGCGATTTGAGGTGCGTGAGAGAACAAAGTGGCGATTGCTGCGCGACAATCGCACTGCATGAAAATCGCGAATGTAAACGGGCCTACTGGGGCGAGAACAGGGACTGGGCTGAGCGATAACATGTTCCTTTAACTTTCTCTCTCCTTTCTCTCTTTCCTAAATAGAATTCTTTCTGATAATGACATCAAACAATGGGACACACGCWTTATTGGCGTTCATTTACCGTACCTTTCTCGCCTGAGCATTGTGCAGAACGTTCAATGGATGCCAGATCGACAACTCTTGTCGTTACCTAATCTCAAAGTTGTTGAGCTTTTGGCTGTTGAAATGCGGGAGCCAATTCAACACTTKRTTGTTTCTTGTTCTCTRGTGCAAATTAACTTCACTGTTGAGAGTCGAAAGAGTTGGTGGAAAGTGAACGAGTCTCATTTTTTCAGTTCGTATTGTATTGCTCCCAAATTTACCATCCAAAACAGCACATTCTGGGATATCACTGCCGAATTTGACTTACWGTGTTATGTAGATAWTTTYAAACAACCGAGCGTGAAGCCAGTGCGCATGTCATCAGTCAACGWGAATAMAAAMTGGATACGAATGAGTTATGAAAACGTTTGTTGGTCTTCCATTAATAAGATATATATAGTGACACTCTTAATTGGCATAGCAACCATCGTCCTGAATTCTACTGTTGTCGTGACAACGGCAAGGAGCAACGTCTTGAGAGCGTCTGTTGCTCATTTCCTGGTATCAAACCTGGCATTAGCGGACCTGTTAAGTGGCATATACCTGGTCACTTTGACCGTGACGAGACAAGCTAGTTCCAGTCCAGACTTCACAGAATTGTTTTTCCATACTAGCTTTTGCCGATATGTTGGGATGATATTCCTTGCCGGGCAAATCTCCTGCTCGCAGATGACGTTTCTCATGACATTAGAGCGTCATTTGGTGATTGTGTTTTGTTTGAAACCACATTTACGACTAACATTGAGACTTGCCGCGATCTTTGTTCCCTTGGTTTGGTTTTCAAGTTTTGCTTTTGCAGCGAGCTTTATGTTCTCTGTGAATTTCTCATCGGGATACGACCGCGTTTGCCTACCGCTTATAACCAACATCCATGATGTTAAAGTATTCCTATATGCGTCTCAGTTTGGTACTGTATATCTTGACATTCGCAATGAATATACATATATACCATGACGTCAAGAAAACTAGAAATAAAACTCCACAGTTAAGAAGGGAGAGCAGTTTAGCGAAAAAAATCGCATGCATTATGGTTAGCAATATTGTATGCTACTTGCTGCCTTGGTTGTTCAATGGGTTGATAACATTTACTCCGCTAAAGCAGACAATATCGCMTTTACATCTATATATTTATTGGGATACCTTTCCCATTACTTGCATGGGAATCAATTCTTTACTCAATCCGATTATTTTTGCATTCAGAAATACAATGTACAGACGCGAGTTTCAGAAATGTTGGTCTCTTTGCAGTAATAATGTAATTCCGCAGCCAAATAGGGATGTTCGTCTTGCTAACAATCCCACTAGGAAAAAAAGATGATGATGACAGTAATTAATATCATCATCATTATTAGCGTATAGAGTCAATTTTGTATGAGTGGGAAACGTACTGTAGAAATTACCGCACAGTTACCGGACCTGGCCTGCACMATTTTTGTGAAGCAATGAGACACTAGAATTTGGTTACAGTAAGATTACGGTCACAGTACAGTACCGTCCGTTTCCCACTCATACGAAATCCTCTCTAATCATAATCATAATCTTTTAAAAAATAAGACATTTTAGAATAAGACATTTTATTTTATTTATAGTTATTTATATAATTATTTTATATATTTTATTTTAAATTACATTATTTTATTTTAAAATAAGACATTTTAACATGTTAAAAAATGTATTAAAAAATCAGAATAGATGCCCTATAAAAACACAGGAATTAATCATCAAAGCAGTGTCTAAAATGCATGTGATAGTCAGTGTGTTGTAGTGAGTGCATCTGTCAGGGCTKCCAAAAGAAATATTCTTTTCATGAAGGGCAGAGTCTACAAAGTCTGGTAAGAGACTCTGGTGTTTTAATATTGGAAGCCTTAGCTTTTAGGTGGAATTTTGTTACCCACAGGAAACCCAAAGACCCATATTAAGTGGTGACAGAAACCGGTACCACATCAAATACGACTGGAGGGAAACAGGTCCAATTCTTATCCGAACAAAGACTTGTGACGTCATTTATTATTCAAAACACTGCGACCTCAAATTGAATGGTTATGTAAATTTAGGATTCACAAAAGACACTTGATAAAGAAAAGATACAAAAAGGTCTTCAGCTGAAGTTTTTTTTAACACACTGCTGATTGACTGTTAAATACAAGAAGTTGGCAATGACTGGAAGGATTGAGTTACAAAACCTTAAATTCAACGCGTATTCTCGCCTATDATCCATCATGGGCCAACCTGGGTTTTTCASCTTCACGWTTATTATTCTTTTTGTTTATTTTATATCTGGAAATGTTGTCTCTACAGTCRCTAAAAAMCACATTCGTTTTGCCGTGGATGAGAACATTCTAAAACAACTACAATCGCATAAATCTCAGGACTACTTCAAAGAGAACAGTGAGTCTGCGTTTATAAGAAATATCCGAAATGTTGGAAAAAGAACAGTSCTTGATAATAAAGAATTATTAAACGAATATTTTTCAACAAAGCCAACAAAGGTGAATAAAAACAGAAAAGATGGACCACAAAAACGACAAGTAAGTASTTGATATAAGTCTCGGATTATTGAAGTCATTTTCACTTATAATTTGATAGTTTTGCCGGAAAGTACTCGACTAAGTTATGCTTAGAGATTAATTACGGAACGAAACTTAATGATGTATACTCGAAACTTGGTTTAAAGTAACAAGTAAAATAGTAAGCTCAATTTTGTCCACTAATCTTGGTCACTCCGGATTATACTCTACATATGACATATCTAATGATGAATTGATCCACGTAAAGAAAACATCTTTTTGTCGACTTCGCTCTAATCTTTTGTCTTCGTTTGTTTGCCTTTTCCGGATTCACGTAAACTTGAATTTTTTCGTAWTGCACATGTTAGAAACCTAAGAAAGTCAAAACTACATTTGAATACTGAATATTATGTATGTATAAGCTGACTATAACAAAGATCTATAAATGCAACCTACAGTTCTAGACTGATGTTCAGCTTGCCAAAACAAATTTGATAGTGATTTCTAAAGACATACACTTGTATGAAAAAAAGCACATTACCCTTCCGGGATCGTCAAAAGTTGTTTAAACAATGAAAACAACGATCGTTCTACCGGAAAAAACCTTTTCTTTARATATTTTGATTTGTTATCTTATAGTAGAGGGAGAAATGACGTTTAGTAGTTTTTGTGTTGCTTGAAGCTGCTAATTTGTCGAGATCTCAATTCAAAAGTTACTCGCSGTTTAGAAAAAGTTAAAAATTCTCTACTTTCTGATGTAACAGCGCGCTTTAAACAAGCGCGCGCAATGTGCAGCACGTATAAAGGTTCACAATTTGTCTAGATGGTTTGGTGCACGCTTTTTCCTTTTATGAATGCATTTATATCAGCATCCTTTGACAGAGCCAGTTTCCTTTTTCTTTTCCTTCCTTTTTCTTCTTCAACTCCATTTTGTTTTTCCTATATTTTATCATTCAGTTGTCGATGTATAAAATGGACTATGACATAACTGGATTTGCGCATTCAATATTTCATTCATCATGCATATTACGTTCATTTTTGTAGATAATCGCCCCTGGTTATTATGAGGCCGAGTGTTCAGATAAAAAGCCTTGTAAATCAGGCAAATACTGTAATCTTTTATACTGTGAAGACTGCCATAAAGAGAAGACAGCGTGTACTCGTAAACAACAGTGTTGTAGCGGTATGGTTTGTACGTTTGGAAGATGTGAGAAAAAGGCCAAAGGAGATCCAGGTGAGAATA